TGATGGTGGCGGACCCCCGGAACTCGCCAGCAGCGGTCTTAACTGGACCCTCAGTGGTGGGGTCCCCCTCTCCACGGCCTCCAGTGCCAACACGCCTTTGGCGGGCACTCATGGGGCTCCAACCTCCCCTACACCCCGGCCAACACCACCTTCAGCCTTGGGTCTTCAGCCTCTCATCCCTGGTCCTGCCTTGGCTCTTCCCTTGTCCCCGACCCACTCGGCTCGCTGACTTGAGCTGGGTTCCGGTCTGTGGACTACGGGACCTGAGACTCTTATGCCCCTGCAGGCTTCCTCCCCGATGTCCCTGCCGGCTCTCCCACCGGTTCTTCCACCGGCGTCCCTGCCGGCTCCCTCTCCGGTTCCTTCACCGGCGTCCTGGCCAGTGTTTTCACCGATCCCTTCACCGGCATCCCTGCCAGCACTTCTCCCAGTTTCTTCACCGGTGTCCCTGCCGGCTCTCCCTCCAGCTCCCTCACCAGCGTCCCTGCCGGCTCTTCCACCGGCTCCTTCCCCGGGGGGTCCTGGCTCGTGCGTCGGCTCCGCAGCTGGGATCCTTGTGGCTGCGGCTCTTGCTGCTCTCGCCGCTCCCGGCGCTGCTTCAGCTTACCCTGCCCATGGCAGAGACACCCCATGGGTGCCTGCTTCCGGCCTTGGGCTTTCTTCCGGGCTTTGCGTTCTCCTGCCACCCTCCTGTGCCCCCGGGACCACGCTTTATTCCCGCCGGGTGGCGCCTCTCAGTGACGTCACCCGGCCTCAGCTGAATGTAAGCGCGGCTAATAAACCGCGTGGGTGGTTTCCCAGCGTGCGCGCCTCTGCTGCCCTCAACTCCTGCAGAGGGTAAGTATGCACTTTCGTTTCCTTTGGGTTTGTGCCAGGGTTTCCCTCTAGCCCCGGTGTCCCTGGGACAGTCCACTATAACCCTCAGGTTCTTTTATGCAGAACTGATGCCAGCCAGTCAGTCCCCAGGCTGTAGCACTGCATGGTACTCTTCTGTCCTAAATGCAGGACTTTGCACTTGTTGAACCTCATGAGATTTTTTTTGGCCCAATCATCCAGTTTGTCTAGATCACTCTGAATCCTAGCTCTACCTTCCAGCATATCTACTATTCCCCCCAGCTTGGTGTCATCTGCAAACTTGCTGAGGGTGCACTCCAACCCATCTTCCAAATTGTTAATGAAGATATTGAACAAAACTTGACCCAGGACTTGACCCAGGACTGATCCCTGGAGCACTCCACTTGATACTGGCTGCCAGCTAGCCATTGACTCATTGATTACTACCCACAATCTGGTCAGCTTTGTATCCACCTTTCAGTCCATTCATCCAACCCATACTTCCTCAGTTTGCTTGCATGTTCTGTATGTGACTAGATTTGCTTTGCTGAATATGTTCAGATGAGACCCAGAAACGTTATCTAGGATCTACCATCACTTGAGGACCCTTGCAAAACCTGCACAATGTCTAATAGTTACTGTGAAGGGTTTTTTATGACTAAGGATTGAGGAACTATCTATCTATCTATCTATCTATCTATCTATCTCAACCTTAGACACCTAAGTGGCACTTCCATAGCCATGTGACTGCACCTTTTGGCCCTTTCTCCCATTTTAGATTTATGCAAATGTTCAGGAAGCTGACTGTAGTTGCATAGGTTATTGATAGAAAGAGGATACAGTACTCCCTTGGTTATCTGAATCTTGATTGTCTCAATGGCAAATATGCTTTACTAACTTGTAATGGCTGGCCTTGTAAAACACACTCCTTTAAGTTTTATTGTATTCAA